GCTCTTTCATCATCTTATCTCAAACCCAACAGGGTGAAATCAGAACTCTTTGGGTTTCTTTCCCTGTACATCTCCCTCTGCAATACCCTTGCTTACTGAAAAAAATACCCACATAACGTGCCTCATGAACACCCCACGGTACTCAGTCGTGTCGGGTGCTATTCTGACCTGTCTTACAGACAGGGAAGCTGGGGCACAGAGCTCAGCTGAGCAAGGTCCTGCAGCCACCACGCGTCAGAGCTGGGACCTGAACCCAGGCCATCTGACCCCGGGTCTGTGCTCTTCCCACCTCAGCCACGCTGGCTTCCCCCAATCCCTCTGCGGCCCGCTCAGCCACACACTGTCTGCTTATCTTCATTATTACAACGCTGCTTCCTTTCCATTCTCCTGCATTCTCCTGCCATGTCCAGAAATTATTTATTCAAGATTCTTCCTCCAAGAAATAACCTATTCCTATCTGCCAACGACCATATATAACTTACTTCCTGCTCGGTGCAGATTTTTACCGGAGCAGTGAAAATAAGGGTGAAGGGTAAGAAATGGATTGTCAATGCCAGAACGAACGCATTCACTTATGGGAAAGGTGGGGCTCTAAGCCCAGATATTCATAGAGCCAATAAAAGTGGTGGTTTTTTAAACGGAAAAACAACAACAAAAATCCTGAGACAAGAGAGAACACATGGGATCTAAAAGCCATTCTCAATCACATTGAAGAATTATTTAACACAAGAGCAATGCCAAGGCTTGATTTTTCCCTTGGGTTCAGATAGTCTACAGTAATTAAATTCTACTAATGAACACAGAGAGTTGATGTCAACAAATGCCCAATGAGAAATATAGGAAAAATATCATCTTACCTGCAGACGTGTGTTTGAACTTTTCGCTTTTCTTCTTCCTCCATTTCCAAGGCTTGAAAATCCTTCCTAGGTTGGCAAACTTACTTCTCCTCCGGATGGGTGGGGTGTGGGTACCTGGGACGAGGGAGTCAGAACGCATCGCCGCCAGCCTCTCCACTTCCTCAGCTTGTTTTCCCGAGAAAGAGATGGAAATAGAGAGAGAAAAGTGTTAAAATGGGAGCCTCACAGATGGCCAATGTTTTCCATGGTTACAGATAACAGAAACCACATGACTGAACTTCCGTCTCTCTTTCTGCCTTTTGGAATGGAAGTCATACCAACGTGTTCCAAAGGCTGGTGACAGTCAGCCAAACCCTAGGGATTCGGAACACCCCAACCAAATTTGCCCAACCTTAACCTAAGCTTGGGAAGGAAGACACGGAGGTGGAGGAGGAGGAACAGAGGCCTCCTGACATATCAGAAACTCCCCACAAGGCAGGGACAGGGCAGCGGAAGAGTCAGTCCAACTACCGGTCCAGCAATTCCTCAAATTAGACTTGGAGGATGCAATCACTACAACACCATCCGCTGAGAAAAGAGGAGGGAGAAGACCTTTATCAGTGGTCTATTCCAAGGCCAAGGTCTCCGCCACCCAGCACTCTCTCCTAGCGCCATGCTTTACTCAGGCCTGCAGAAGCAGAGGAACCTGTCGAGTGGGTGGCTCCACCTTAAAACCCACGGACCGACCCATTTTAGAATCACTCACGCTTCGTTAGATTCTACAACTGCCTTAACTCCTCTAAGTCTTTTAGTTCCCGGTGCTTTGCTCTAGCAATTTTTTAAAATTCTTAGAAATTGAGAATCAAGAGTGATACCAGGTACCATCTAGATTAACCCCAATTAACTTGAGATTTGAGGACATGAAGACCTTCATACTCATAATGCCCAGTGGACCCTTTCTTAAGGGCCACAACCACTCTGACCGCACCCATCACTTGGAATACAACAAACTCTTTTCCGATGTACATGAGCATGCACATGTCTATGAGGCAAACAGACCCTGACTTGAACTTTTAAGACAGGAATAATCAGAGAAAATAACCTCCTTGGCAAAATCAAGGAGGGTAGGAGGGGCTTTCCAGAAAGTCCACTTACATTTAAAGCTGCGGCCAATCCAGAACCACACTGTTGAGACTCTAACACTGTCCTTCAGGAAAGTCTCCTAAATTTGCAACACAGGCTGTTCTCGGAAGCTCAGCCTTGCAGCCTGATAGTCTACCCGCTATCGTCTGATATGGTTTTAACTCAGGAGATTCAATATTCAACAGATATTCAGGGAATCTCAACCATGTGCGATGGTGATGCACTGGTTGGTAGTCTCCTGGGCAAGACTGAGAGGAAGGAGATAAATTTGAGAGACGTCTGAGAAGTCAAGTCAGCAGGACCCAGTGACTGATTGGGTGACTGGATCACGTCCGTAGGCTGAGCTGCAAGAGCCAGTGGAAAGAAAGAGACTGAAGATGTACGAAAGTGGTTGAGAAATCTGTGAAGCCAGCTTCTTAGGGAAGAGAAGAGGAGGCGTCAAAAGCACTTATAGAAGTTAGTCGTCGGAAGACTTTACTCTGAGTTATCGAAGTCTGAACTGAGGTCTCCGATCACAAATGGCAGGACCACATGTGGGCCTCGAGAAGATTAATCTGGCGGCAGCGGGTGAAATGAATTACTGGAGGCTAAAAGGAAGATAAAGATAGAGGAGACTTGGCTAGGGAGAGTGGTTTAAGAAACCAGCTACACTGGGGAAGCAGAAGGAAGCCAAACGGAGCAAGTAAACAGCCTCTGGAGCAACACTGAATTTGGAAATCGTTCTCTTTAAATGGTGTCAGCTGCTTGAGTTGGTGCTCCCTCAAGAACGCTCCGTAGTTGCGAAGAGCCACACAATGACAGTCGTGGGAACCCAAATCAAGGAGCTTTTGAGTCCAGGATGGAAATAAAGCCAAGACAGTCTGGCCATCTGATTCCCACAAGATTGCCTTCTATTTTACACCCATCGCCGTTTTAAATTTTCTTACCTTAGTTGATAATCTCATTGTTACTTGTCCAGATTTTGCAAATCTCCAAGCGTACGTTCCCAAATCAAGTCTCCTGCCTTCAGATCTGTATTTTAAATTGTTGATACTCTTCCAGAAGGCTACTTTTCTCAGAAACTTTCAGTGCCCCCCACAACTTACAGTAGAAAGTTCTAATCTTTTGCCTTGATCTTCAGGAACCTCCATCTGAGTTTCCTGCCCCAAACAATCTAACAGTAACTCTCTAAACACACGCTGCAGCCAAAATGAAACACTGCCTGGATCCCAATGGGCTCTGTGGTGGGGCAGGGTGGGGGGCACGCAAACCACTGAAATTATATGCAAAAGTTCACGTCTA